ACACCTGTATCCCTTGGATAAATACCTAGTAGTGCAATGGCTGGCTCATAGAGTAGCTCTATTTTTAATTTTTTGAGGAACCTCTATACTATTTTCCAGAGTGGCTGTACCAGTTTGCAGTCCCACCAGCAGTGAAAAGAGATCCTCTTTCTCCACATCCTCACCAACATCTGTTGTTGCCTGAGTTGTTAATGTTAGCCATTCTGACAGGTGTGAGGTGGTTTTGTGGTTTTGTGGTTTTGATTTGTATTTCCCTGATGATGAGTGATGTTGAGCATTTTTTCATGTGTCGGTTGGCCATCTAGATGTCTTCTTTGGAGAAGTGTCTATTCATGTCTTTTGCCCATTTCTTCACTGGATTATTTGTTTTTTGGGTGTTGAGTTTGATAAGCTCTTTATAGATTTTGGATCCTAACCCTTTATCTGACATGTCGTTTACAAATATCTTCTCCCATTCTGTCGGTTGCCTTTTAGTTTTGCTGATTGTTTCCTTTGCTGTGCAGAAGCTTTTTATTTTGATTTTGTCCAGGCACCAGGGGCGCCTGGGTGGCTCAGTCAGTTAAGCGTCCGACTTTGGCTCAGGTCATGATCTCACGGTTCGTGGGTTCAAGCCCCACATCAGGCTCTGTGCTGACAGCTCAGAGCCTGGAGCCTGTTTTAGATTCTGTGTCTCCCTCTCTCTCTGCCCCTCCCCCACTCACGCTCTGTCTCCCTCTGTCTCAAAAATAAATAAACATTAAAAAAAATTTTATTTTGATTCGGTCCCGATAGTTCTTGTTTTGTCTCCTCGAGGATTTTGATGGCTTCCTGTCTGACATTGAGGTCTTTCATCCATTTTGAGTTTATTTTTGTGTATGGTGTAAGAAAGTGGTCCAGGTTCATTTTTCTGCATGTCGTTGTCCAATTTTCCCAGCACCACTTGCTGAAAAGACTGTCTTGATTCTACTGGATATTCTTTCCTGCTTTGTCAAAGATTAGTTGGCCATACGTTTGTGGGTCCATTTCTGGGTTCTCTGTTCAGTTTCATTGATCTGAGTGTCTGTTTTTGTGCCATGTCCTTTGCTTTTCAATTTTATTTGTTCTTTTAACATACAAAACCCTAAAATTGATGTGATCCACTTCCAGAGATAATTAAATAATCACACATATTTTCCTCTTGACTTTTGAACATTTAACTTTAATACAATTGGAATTTGTCTAGTATAAGTATAGAATTTGGTACAAAAATAGGATAAGTTAGAATTTAACTTAACTTTATTTCACACACTCTTAGGAAATTTTTCTAGTTCTTTTTGTTAAGTAATCCATCTTTCTCCATTGACTTGCGATGGCTTTTTTATTATATATTAAAGTTTTTAAGTGTACTAAAATCTGTTTGGGGACTATTTTTTCTTTTCATTAACCTATCTATCAAATTCCATGCCAAACAATTTTAATTATTGTTGTTTTTTGTGTTTTGATAACTACTAGGATAAATCCCATAACATTAAATCCTATTGAAAATTTAAATCCTATTAAAATTGTTCTTATAAGATTCTGCCCATATATTCTTAAGGATTAATTTTTTTTTAAGTTTGTAATGTTTCCTTAATTTATTTTTGAGGGAGAGATGGAGTGCAAGTGAGGGAGGGCTAGAGAGAGAGGGAGACACAGAATCCAAAGCAGGCTCCAGGCTCTGAAATGTCAGCACAGAGCCCCAAGTGGGGCTTGAACTCATGAACCATGAGATCATGACCTGAGCTGAAGTTAGATGCTTAACCGACTGAGCCACCCAGGCACCCCAGATTAGTTTCTTAATTGAAATGTATTTGACATACAATATTGTGCAAACTTAAGATATGTAACATATTAATTTTATACATTTTTCTGTTGTGATACGATTGCCATTGTAACAATAATTTGGACCTCTATCACATTACATAATTATATCTTTTTGGTAGCTCAAATAATTAAGTTCTCGTCTCAGATTAATTTTTTTAATGTTTATTTACTTTTTGAGAGAGAGTACCCGTATGTGTGTGAGCGGGGGAGGGGCAGAGAGAGCGAGCAAGCGCGAGAGAGAATCCAAACCAGGTGGGGCTTGAACCCACAAACCTTGAAATCTTAACTTGATCTGAAACCAAGAGTCAGACGCTTAACTGTTTGAGCCACTCAGGTGCCCCTCAGATTAGATTTTTTTTTAATGTGGGGTTTTTGTTTTTTGGTTTTTTTTTTTGAGAGACAGAGAGAGAGAATTAGAGGCAGAGCAGGGGAGGAGCAGAGAGAGAGAGAAGGAGACAGAGAATCTCAAGCAGGCTCCACACTGTCAGCGCAGAGCCCGATGTGGGGCTCTAATTCACGAACTGTGAGATCATGACCTGAGCTGAAACCAAGAGTCAGATGTTTGACCATTTGAGCCACCCAGGAGCTCCATAATTTTTTAACTAGAAACAATCCCATTGAAATTTTTATTGGAATTACTTTAAGCCTCAAAATTAATTTTATCTACTTATTGATTTAGCAGAATGAGTGCCTACCTTTGATTTCCTCATCTCTGTAATAGGTAGCTAGCTCTCAGTTCTAATCAACACTTTCTGTAACAGCATTCACAGTTTATTTGAAATTCAGCCTTTGGTAATTTGAAGTATCCTCTTGAGTCCAGTCTGGGAAAAATGTTTGACTAGCAAATCTAAGATTAGCTGTTCAAAGGGGCTTTTTTCTGATGGTTTCTTCTGGGAATGATAACTAGGTAAATAATCCTTGGAATACAACCTTTGATTTGAGTCTTATCTTTAATTTGTCTTTGGTTTTTGCTGATTTATTTAGAAAAACCCAAGTAAACTCTGATTTAAAGTGCACATTCCTTCCTCTGCCTTCTGCCCCTCCTCCTCCTACAAAATTATTTCTTTTTCTTTGCAGTTTAGAAATGTTCATTGACTCTGCCTTGAGGTCAGTCTCTAGCTTAATTTTGTTTGGCACTGCATCATCTTTCTCTGTCTCTAGCCTCTCTCTCTTTTTCTTTTGACTTTTTGCAATTACTCCTGTTGTTTTCAGCTTTTTACCATCTGTTCTGTGTTTTGGAATCCTGATCACTGTAGGTTGGATCTCCTTGCTCTGTTCTCTATTTAAAGCTCTCTACGATTTCTTGTATTTGCATAACCATTCTGGTCTCAAGGTATCTCACAAGTTTATTTTCTTTGGTTATCTGCAGTGTCATTTCTACTTTGTATAGCTTCAAATGGTTTTCTTAATTCTTCAGTCTCCATTTTCATTGCACTAAATTTATTTTTATCTTGAGCTGTTCTTATTTACAATTTTTTTTTTTAACGTTTATTTATTTTTTTGGGACAGAAAGAAACAGAGCATGAACGGGGGAGGGGCAGAGAGAGAGGGAGACACAGAATCAGAAACAGGCTCCAGGCTCTGAGCCATCAGCCCAGAGCCCGACGCGGGGCTCGAACTCACGGACCGCGAGATCGTGACCTGGCTGAAGTCGGACGCTTAACCGACTCCGCCACCCAGGCGCCCCGAGCTGTTCTTATTTAAGATAAATAAATGTCTTTCTGAAATCTCATGAGTTTCATCTTTTCTTTATTTTTTTAGTTATTATTTTTAATGTTTGTTTATTTTTGAGAGAGAGAGAACACAAGTGGGGGTGGGGGGCAGAGGATCTAAAGCAGGCTCTACACTGAAAGCAGAGAGCCAGAAAGGGGACTCAAACCCATGAGCCATGAGGTCATGGCCTGAGCCAAAGTTGGATACTTAACCAACTGAGCCACCCAGGTACCCCTCACCTTTTTCTTTAAATACTTATTATTTTCAATGATTTTTAATTTTTTTTATACATTAGAAATTAATGAATTTTCATTCTAGCCCTTGCTTTGTTTTCCTTTCTGAAACGATTTTGGTTGCAGATTTTTCTTAATGTTTATTTATTTTTGAGACAGAGAGAGAGCATGAACGGGGGAGGGTAAGAGAGAGAGGGAGACACAGAATCAGAAGCAGGCTCCAGGCTCCGAGCCATCAGCCCATAGCCCGACGCGGGGCTCAAACTCACGAACCGCGAGATCGTGACCTGGCTGAAGTCGGACGCTCAACCGACTGAGCCACCCAGCCGCCCCTGGTTGCAGATTTTTATTGTTGTTGTTGATTAATTCATCTGTCATGTTTATGAATTAAGATTGGCTGGCACTGAAAAATTTTCATGATAGGCTATTATAATTGGCATTTTAATGAGATTTGAAGGAAAGTAGTTCCTGGTACTGTGAATTCTTTTATCTTCCATAAGTTCTGTGTTGCATTCCTAGAACCTACTTACATGATGCCTCACACATGACTGTGTGAAAATTAGACGTTCTTTGACAGTGGTACTTTTCTTCTATTTTAGGGACTTCACTGTGACTTTGCTTGCCTGATGTTTCAATACTTAGTAAATAAGCCATCAGAAGAAAGGGTCAGGGAGATCATTGTTAATGCTGTTGAAATTGAGCAGGTAAGCAGGGTAGCTTATATGATTAGCACATCTCTTTTTCTCTGATGTTTGCAATTATTGTGTTAGGTTGACTCATTTGAAATTGCCACTTATAAGCCAAAGCAAATATCAGTAATTTTATATAGTCAACCTGACAGTACGAAAAGATGATGCATTTCAATTATTATGTCAGTTTATAATTTGGTTCATAAGTAAATGTTATACATTAAGGTTTATGTATATATGTCAATTTATAATTTGGTTCATAAGTAAATGTTATACATTAAGGTTTATGTATGTATGTTATGAAAAGATGATGCATTTCAATTATTATGTCAGTTTATAATTTGGTTACTAAGTAAATGTGATATATTAAAGTTTATGTATATTAAAACCTATTTCAGGATTTTTTTTTTCTGTCCCTTTGATCTGTCACATTCTGTGCCATAGCAAACTATTTTAATCATTTCAGCTTTATATTTTTTAGATTTTCAGCTACTGGAGGGAAGTGATAGTTTCTTCTTTGTTTTGTATTTTCAAAACCAAGCAGTGTATCTAGCTTGAAGCATGCACCAAATGTTTATAGAATTAACAAGTCAATGAGTTCACAAATAGTAAAAATTTATAGAATGTAAAAATTTCTGACTACAAAGACCTGGATGTTCCACTTAATGTTTTTATCATTTGAAAGAACTAGTTTAAAAATAAAATAAAAACTTTTGACTCTTTAAAAAAAATACCATACAGTTCAATAGCCATAGTTTTCATATTGGGAGGGGTGAAAAGGAATGAAATTTATTTTAGTATTTTTAATCATTTTGAGAACTAAATCCAAATGGTTAGTATTTTTGTTTTTTTCTCGATTAACACTTTGCCACTGTCTTTCAATATAGTTGGAGTTCAGTTTAACTCCCAGATCCATTTCTCTTTCTCATTTTCTTTGTTAAATGTGTTTCTCTCTTTCCTAATCCCCTTCCATAACCATGTTCCCCACAGTGATCATCTCTGGTGAATCTTTTTCCGGATATTTCAGGACAAAGTATGCCCTCCTTTCTCTCTGGAAAGTCTGTGAATTTAGGTCCTATATATACTACTTTGTAAAATATAAGTAATTTGACAGTTTCAGTTTACTTTGGCTATTTGAGAATGTGAAATACTGTGAATAGTAAAACCCCAAACATTTTTAAACAAATGGATGTTGCCATGTTGAAAGAATTTACCCTAGTGAACTTTCCTCAGGGACTTAGAAGATTAAAACTAATACCCTGTTTTTATTTGGAAAATACTTATTTATTGTTCTGTCTTTGTACTTGATTCTGTTTTTGTTCGTATCTCAGGAGTTTCTAACAGAAGCCTTGCCAGTTGGCCTCATTGGAATGAATTGTGTTTTGATGAAACAATATATTGAGTTTGTAGCTGACAGATTACTTGTGGAACTTGGATTCTCAAAGGTAAGATGTTTAAAAATTTATTACTACTAGCTAAAATGTTAGTAAGACCACTAAAATACTATATTTCATTGAAAGCATTTGTATCACATCAGTCTACTTTTTAAAATTACTGTGACGGGGCGCCTGGGTGGCGCAGTCGGTTAGGCGTCCGACTTCAGCCAGGTCACGATCTCGCGGTCCGTGAGTTCGAGCCCCGCGTCGGGCTCTGGGCTGATGGCTCAGAGCCTGGAGCCTGTTTCCGATTCTGTGTCTCCCTCTCTCTCTGCCCCTCCCCCGTTCATGCTCTGTCTCTCTCTGTCCCAAAAATAAATAAACGTTGAAAAAAAAATTTTTTTTAAATAAAATAAAATAAAATAAAATTACTGTGACAGCCTTGTTTTGCATGAACAAATTTGTTTTGCAAAATCCTTTGAAACTTGAAATTCATAACAGAAGGAAGAAGCTGATAAATCTTAGAATTAATAAGTTCAATAAATTACTTGTAATAATTGCAGGTATTTAATAGGATTATCTTTCATTGGATTTAATATGTATATATATATGTTACCCTCATAAATCCTCATGGGTCTGTGTTGTAATTTTTGCATTAATACTTTTTTTAAAGACTTGTTTAACTTATGGGACACCTGAGTGGCTCAGTAGGTTAAGTGTCTTGACTCTTGATTTTGGCTCAGGTCATGATCTCATGGTTCGTGAGTTTGAGACCCGCATTGGACTCCCTGCTGATAGTGCAGTGCCTGCTTAGGGTTCTCTCTCTCTCTCTCCCTTTCTCTCTGTCCCTCCCATGTGTGTTCTCTCTCTCTCAAAATAAATAAAATAAGCTTATAAAAATAAAAAAGAAACCTGTTTACCTTTTACTTATTTAGTGAGATTGGTGCATCCAAACGTTTATACTTTTAAATACAAATGGTTATTAGGAAGACATTAACTGTCATAATTTGGTCCTTTGAACTCAGTTGCCTTTTAAGTTATTTTTCATTTTTTTTTATCAGAGATAATATACCTGAATTTCATAAAGTCGTGTGCTTCTCACATGACATAACAGGTGGAGGCTGCAGCCAGTCTACCTGGGTTTGAATCCTGGCTCTGCCACTTTCTAGCTCTGTGACCTTAAGCACCTTGTTTAACCTGTACCTTCATTTCCTCATCTACGAAAGGGAGATAATAATAATACTTACCAGAAAGGATTGTTGATGAGTTGGCATACATAAAGCACTTAAAATACTATCAGACATACAGTAAATACATACTAAGTGGTCATGTTGTATTCACCATAATTGGATATTCACGGAACTTTACAATGTACTGTATATGCGATGGTAATTAGAAATTATAGGTTTTAACTTGTTAGCAGGGAAATGTAAGCTTAAGTTGTATTTAATGAGAAGCCTTGTTATGTGTTGTTGTTCTTATGGGTGTAATTTGGCTTCTTCAGAATGTCTAATAACACTTCTTTTCTTTTTAGGTTTTTCAGGCAGAAAATCCCTTTGATTTTATGGAAAACATTTCTTTGGAAGGGAAAACAAATTTCTTTGAGAAACGAGTTGCAGAGTATCAACGTTTTGCAGTTATGGCAGAAACTACAGATAATGTCTTCACCCTGGATGCAGATTTTTAGAACTCTCCCCATAGATAAACCTATCACTGGTAAATAGCAGTCTGTTTTTCTCTGCTTTAAAAAACAAAAAAACAAAACAAAACAAAAAAACAAAGTAGCTCCCTTAGGCAACAAAAGTTTGCTTAAAAGGAAATCCAAAACCAAATTTCAATAAGTTGGATTTATAGAAATACACTCTAATTTTCCCATTTGACATTCAGGATGTGACTTCAATTCTATTGTTTTGTCACGAAAATATAAGATGGTGTTATGTAGTGATTAAGAGCATGAGGTGAGGGGTCAGATTTGAGATTCTGCCCTTACTGCTTTGTGTGATCCTTGGAAAGTCAGTTAATCTCTCTAAATCTCAATGTATGTATCCTTAAAGTGGGTGTAATAGTAGCTCCTAAATTTATCATGTGGATATGAGGATTGAGCCACAAAATAGGTGCTTAGCCACGACCACCACCATTACTACTTATTAACAGTCTTAATTATGGTGATGTTGTGATAAAATTCTCCCCTGTCCTCAAAGTAATTTTGATTCTAGGTTCTAAGATCTAGAATTAGATCTTTATATTTTAATGTTTGAGGGAGAATATAAAGATTTCATTTAAAAATTATAATTCTCATTAACTTGAGAATTGCTTCTTCAAATTCCTCAGCATGTAGTAAAGGAAATTTAGTTCTCAGTTGCTTTGGGCAGGACACTTATGAAGTGAAATTCGGGAGATCAGCCTGGCAGTTGACCTTGTAAGTAAAATGATTTTGCTCCTTTAGAAATCAAAAAGGTAACAATTGCCAGACATAGCTAGCCCTGAAATGTTTAAACCCTGGGTGAATTAGCTAGAATAGCATTTCCCCAAGAATGTTCTAAAAGCTGTGAGCCCCTCTAGATATTTTGTGGGGAAAAATGGGATTCTGTGGTCAGATGAACCTGGGAAATGCTATCCTCCCTTCTTCCTCTTTGAAGTATATAGTCAGTACATCAAAGAGAGAAATTCTTCAGGACATAAAACTTACTTCTCCCTGCATATCCCAGACTTACTTAACAAAGGTCTGTAGTTTACCTGTTAACATCTCACCTAACTAGTATTCCTCTGAATATAGTTTGGAAAAGGCTGCCCTAGAACCATTTTGTACACAGAGGAAGGACTTGTGGACTAGGCAAAGGAGACCTGGAGGGATTTACTGAACCATTCATATTTGTGCCGAGCTGAGTAATGTACCTGAGACTGACCTCAGCTGTGCTTCTTTAATACTCTTCAAACTCTTTTATGCTGTTAAAAGGTAGAGTCCTAATGGAACTATGCATCCTGCACAATAGCAGATGGCAAGGGAGACAAAGGTTTCTGCAGAGGAGACAGTGAGGAAAGGCCATGGACCCCTCTTTATCGTTAGGAAGAGCCAAGAGGTAGCCTGAGCCCCCAAAACAGTGTGGTTCCCCACTTAACAGCAAACTGCTTTATAACATTCTGCAACCTAGAATTTAGAGATTTTTCACTTTGCATAAGTTTTTGCTCCGTTCATTCAGCAACGTTCTAATGACTAAAAATGGGAGTTCTCAAGTGGATGCAAGAGGACCAGGCCATAACCTTGTTAGGGAAACTGTCAGAAGCCTGTGATATTTCGGCCTATGACAGTGCCATTTGTTCAGTTTGTTCAGTGCTTCATGGTTGGCCAGCTGGTTTTACATCATATCACGTGATCACTCAACAGCCTTATAAGCTTGACAGCTAATATTGACATTTTACTGCTAGGAGAGAGTGAGGCTCAGGGAAGTTAAATGACTTGGCCAAGGTGGGCTCTTATCACCGTCCTTGCAGTAGAATTCTTTTTCCCTAGAGATTATCATCTTTCTTGTATTTAGTCCTTTACATCCATCTTGATGTGATTTTGCCTATTTTCTCAATCAGGTATCATGTACTTTATTAAGGTATTATGTAAATTATTTACCTATATTCAGGTAGTATGCTCAAAGATGTGTATACTACTGTAGAAACACTTAACATTATAAATTGAGAATATCTGCAATAATATTGGAATGAAAGAAAAAAGTTTTCAGTGCATATTCCCTTTGTTTTGAATCCAGATCTTTCTCATAGGTAATGACAGGTGCCTTAATATGAAGCTTATTTATAGTAGCAATAAACCTAACTGTTGAGATGAAGAAGTTTTAATACTGAAATACTGGATTTTTAATACACTGGTTTATTATATTCAGTGTTCTATATCCTTTTCCAGGCCTTCAGGCTGCATATTTATTTATTATGTTTAGTATTTTGGTTCCTAGTTCTTAAGGAATGAAGAAATTGAGGAATTGCCTTTTAATACTATCTCACAGGTAAAGGAATTCAGAGTATGTTTACAAGTTTTTTTTAATAGCACATGTACTTAAGTCATTGCTATAGTAAAGTTAAGTTTGTTATTTAGGAATGTAAAAACTTGTAGTTCATGACAGCACTTATTAAAAATAACTTCATTGTAGTATGTAGAATCATGACTTGGAAGGACTTGGGAAGACAGTTTGACTCAGTGCTTTCAGACAAGGCTATTTTGTTGTTCAGTTACACACAATAATAAACAATTGTTTTTACCTATAAGCTTACTCGAGTCATGTCTTAGTGTCTCATTTTGGAATATCAACATTTTCTTCTTCTTTTGACATTTTATTTTTTATTCATAAAAAGTGATTACAGTTGGCCCTTGAACAACATGGGACTTAGGGGCACCAAACCCCCGCATGGTTGAAAATCCACATGTAACCTTTGACTCCCCCACAAGTTAACTATTAATAGCCTACTGTTGACTGGAAGCCTTACCAATAACACAAACAAGTTGATTAGCACATATTATGTGTGTTATATGTATTGTGTACTGTATTCTTACAATAAAGTGAGTTAGAGAAAAGATGTTTTTAAGAAAATCATAAGGAAGAGAAATACACTTACAGTACTATACTCTATTTATTGAAAAAAATCCACATATACGTGGGCCTGTGCAGGTCAAACCCATGTTCTTCAAGGGTCAACTGTATTGAGAAAACATAGCAGTTTGCATATTTAAAACACATATTATTTAATATTCATAACTTTGCATTTTACATTTAAATATGCTAACTTCCATGTCATAGACTTCCCATACTGCATTTGCATGGATTAAGCTAAGGGCTTAATGTCGCTAACTGATTTTCAGTGATAAAGAAATCTGTTCCTGAGCTGCATAAAAGCCAGTTTAGTCCTATAATCAGGTATTATGTTTTTGAACTAAATTGCATGAATTGGTAGCCAACTCAGGAGCTCTTCTCAGTGGAATCTGCATGAGTGGTACAGAAGTGAAATCTAGTTTTTCTTTGTTTTTCCCAGCCTTTAGATAATCTCCTTTTTAGATGACTGTAAATTTGAAGGATAACTTGATATTCCCAGGGCCTTAGAAAGAAAGGATTTAAGCTTTCAAATTTGGGGCCTAAGGAAAATATAGGTAAAAATGGAAGGATAGAGATTGATTTTTTTGTACAGATAAAAATACAACAATTCAAGTCTTTTTCTAAGTTCACAAGATTGTTAACTTAGTGCATTTGATTCTTTTATAATAATGTTTTGTTTTTTTCCAAATGTCTGGTAATTTAGCAAAGCTATTTGGTATTTACTGTGTATATAGAGAGCTTTATTAGGTGTGGTGTACCTAAGTCTTTTTGCTAAAATGCATTGTGGTCAATCAAGCCAACCCTGAATATGTAGAATGTTGGGGTTTTTTTTCCCCAAAGAAATAGGTTGTTTTGTTATTTTTGGGGGTTAGTGTGTTGAAATAAACTGTATCATAGCTACATCATTTTGTGTGTGTCCTTTTTGAGTAAGAGTATTTCTTTATAAGTGAAGGGGCTACCCTAATTAAGAAATGTATATGTTTTCTCTTTGTGCATACAGATAAATACATATTGGTATTACTTTGTTCAACTCTCTCTCTTTCTCTCTCTCTCTCTCTCTCTCTCTCTCTCACACACACACACACACACACACACACACACAAACACACACACACACTGTTCTTTTGACATAAGTGGGATTCCCCCAGTCCTCCCTCTCATCTGCCTTCACCTAATCCATGTCTCTTTATATCCAGCTGAGATTCCACAATACATAATATTACTAGGGGTAACATGTGTACTTTACCAATACCCTGAACTCTGTTCCTCTTCTGCATTTATACCATACATAGAAAAGTCAAGGAGATTTCCCCACCCTGTTACAAACATGACGACAATCAGTTTTTCCATATTTCCCTCAATAAGCAGCCAAATGCTGCTAGAGAAAAGGACATGTAAGACAAATTGGATCTCCTTACTATAAATCCATGTAAACATTTACCTACTGTCTTAGTCCATTGGGGCTGCTATTGAAAACTACTATAAACTCGGGGGCTGAAACTAGGCATTTACTTCTCACAGTTGTGGAGGCTGAGAAATCAAGGTGCTGACAGATTCGGTGTCCCGTGAGTCTCGCTTCCTGGTTCATAAACAGTTGTCTACTCACTATGTACTCACATGGAAGAAGGGTGAGGGAGCTCTCTGAGGTCTCTTTCATAAGGGCCCTAACCCTATTCATGATCCAGTCACCCAGGCCCCACCTCCAAACATCAGCACACTGGGGATTAGGTTTCAACATGAATTTTGGTGGGACACAGCATTCAGTTTATAGCACCTACCTCAGCACTATCTGATAACTCTAGTACAATTTCCTGGTAAACTTGTTCTCCATTCTCCACAATTGCTTTTCCACACTATGCCCACCTTCTGCTACTACCCTCACTCCCCAAGAAGGTGCCTTTGTCATCTGCTTTTTCTTTGTGAATTGTGGGCCCACGAGCGATATTCTGGGCTGAAAAATATGACAATTAGAGGAGTCCTAAATCTAGAACCTAAGAAGCCGCAGTATAACTCAATATACAAGTGTCTGTGCATGATTTCTGTCCTGTGGAGTCCTTGCAATCAGAGAGCGATTGAGGACATTAGCTGTTCTTTT